GCCCCCTCCCCCCCCCTCCGCCCCCCCCCCCCCCCCCCCCCCCCCCCCCCCACCCCCCCCTCCACCCCCCCACCCCCCCCCCCCCCCCCCCCCCCCCCCCCCCCCCCCCCCCCCAATAATTTCAGAAATAAGACAAAGGAATTGTGAAAAATGTGAAAGAAAAGGCAAAAAGAGAAAACAAGGCCCCTTCAGAGGCGCCGAATGCCTCGGCGGCCAGAATTATGTTGGCTCTGGCGAACAGACGATCTCTGACTAGCACGTTTGCGTCGAGGTGTTTGTTCGGTCCGCTCCATCAGCTTCACCTGCTCTGTCTGCTCTCGCAGCCTGCAGGCTTTGACATCACGCCACCATCGAGTAATCACCTCATATGCCAACTCCATCCTGACTGTGGCGATAGCACACGCGCGCTTATTTCGTCGTTCTATAAATGAGCGCCATTCCCGTTGAATAACGATGGCGGAGAAGACATGCTTCAAAGGCAGAGGCCGGGGATTTTCAGTAGGCGGCGAATGTTCTATTTTTTTGGGAACTCTGACGGCATTCCCTCGAGTTTCACTCATATTCACTCGCTTCATTGGCTCTATTTGCGCTTCATTGGGCTTGGTTGTTATGCGTGTTCTGAGAGTGGCATTTTGCACAGCTGGACGGGCCATTTTGATCACCGTTGAATGATTTTCTGATTTGCTTTTTTTCTTGGTGATGGCGGAAAATCCAGGAGGGATATTTTCTTTGCCGCCACCTGTTCCAGGTTTATCAAAGGTTGTCGCCCCTGCCTGGAAAACCTTCAAGTTTTGCTGGAGCGGAGCTCTCCGAGTAGATCCTGTCAACGGCTTTTGTGGCTGGCGTCTAGTGTGTTGTGACTTGAAGGTTTTGATCCCAGCATCCCCTGAGATATGTGGAATTGTGTCTTTGGTTTGCCGCTTGGGTGAGCTGTAAAGATCCATGAAGACGGTGGGAGTGATAGAGTCATCAGACGGAATGTATATTGTATCCCACTGTCTCGAAGACTCGTGTCTCGACAGGCTGTGAGTTCGACCTTCGTTAAGAAAACCTGACCCGACATCGAGGCTTTCTAACAAGAAGTAAAGTTTCATACTGAGTTAAGAGTTGAGTCAATTCCTGTGAAAGTGAGGAGTGTGTCGGGATTGTTGTGCAGAGAAGCGGTCAGGTTAATCAAGGGATAGATTCCAACGCGGGGAAGATGCGGGGTGAGACTTGATGTTATCAACAAGTTTGAGCAACTGTACAGTGAGGTATGGAATCAATAACACAGATCGAGGATAGCCTGTCTCCAGGGCTGGAACAGTCAATTACTATGAGACCATGTTGACCTGTGGACGGGTTGTCCAGGGCAACACGTGGGGGTCAACACGTGACATCATCAAACCGAAGGATACTAGGAGTACGGATACGGAGTACACACTTCCCCTTGCTGTACGTTCTTACGAATGCAGATCGTTCAATTCGGATATGACTCTAGTCCGATATATGTACTTCTTATCACTTCGCCGAAGAGGATCTAATTTCATGGCGACGCCCAAATCAGCCTTGGTTGCATGATGTCAGACTGGGATATGGCTCCTCTACAACATAGGCCCTAACCAAGAACTGATGTTTTTGTTACGGCCTAGTGACACGCCATTAACCGGCCATGCGGGATATCCGGGAACCTGGCTTCGTCTCCTAAGTCCTGCATCCCTTTCGGGAGTTAGCGGTTTCCTGCAGGCGGGCCGATATAGTCTAGAGCGCCGTCATCGACCGAGTGATCTCCGATCATTCTTCCGAGGATACTGCCCATTGCGCCACTCTTCACGGTATGAAGGCATTGGGGTCAAGATCGACATTTAACTCGAGATCTAGATCGTCTATTGATGCATCTGTGAATGCCTAGATGGATGAATTTGAACATATCGGGATTCTGGTCACATGCATTGGTCTAATCTACTCCAATTTAGCAATGGACAAGGCCATTTTACAGCATAAACCACTTCTTCTCTTGTCCTGCGACCGCAAGTCCAACCTTCCCCTCATCAGCTAGTTTTGATAGAACCTGCGATATAAAAGGCCCCGCCATTGCCTCCATCTCGGGTCCGTAGAGACTTGCGATGATGTCCCGCGTCGTCAGCGATGCCCTTGTCTTTGTGTTGGCCCCGATAAAAGCCGATAAAACCTTTTTTTCTCGCATTTCCCAATGTCTGCTCCAGACTATGAGTTTGGCTGGCAGGTCGTCAATCACGGCACCATGCCCGGGGTATCCAACTGTTATCTCTTCATTGCGCACACCTTGGGTCATAACTTGCAAACTCTTCATATATGGTCCTAGATCTTCCACAACAACACTGCCTCCATGCCCAAGCACATTATCACCTGTGAACATTGCGCCGCTTTCCTCCAAGATAAAGCACATGTGGTCTTGACTGTGTCCGGGCGTGAACAAGGCTCGCAGTGTAGTTCCTTGCGCAGTAAAAGTCTGTCCATCGCGAATCGAATGTTGGCCCCGGTCCGGATGGGCCTTGTGGACCGCCGCGACCAGATGTGGATACTGAGCCAGTAGCGCCGGGAGACCACCGGTATGATCGGTATGCCAGTGGGTCAGCAGTACCTGGGAGATGCTCAACTGATGTTGGTCAAGATAGTTGACAAGAGTGGTGAGCCAGATCGGACATCCCTGTCGACATGACACTCGTGTTTAGTCTCCAGGTACTAAACTGGGAGGGTCAAAATCACTCACCTGTCCTGTATCTATCAAAATCCGTTTCTGGCCACTGCCGACTAGATACGTATTGGTTCCTTGTAGTTGCATGTTGCCTGGATTTCCGCCGAGTATTCGAACCACCTCTGTGCTGAGTTTTGCGACAGCTGGGAGATATGGCAGTCCAGCGTTTCGGGCAGATAGATATTCCTGCCACCCTGGCTGCGTCCATACTTTCGGAGGGGACATGTTTCTTGTTGATCGACTCTGGATGTCCAGGTAGATACCTAGGCTTTGCGATTTGAGTAAGTAGTGTTGGAATTGAAAGGTGGGGTCCATTCGTCATGCATGGCTGCCTGATATACCAGGTTTTTATCCCCAGGCTAGGACTACCCGAGTCTCTAAATATTCAAGCTGGATATGTATGTATGGCTTCAATGAAAATCTGACTTTTACGATCCGACAAGACTTTCTAGTCGATAATCATCACAGTACCGATCCATCGCCTCCACCTTCCATGTATCCCAGTTCAAGATGCTAAGTAAGACCTGACATATTGCAACTGGAAAATTGAAAATCAAATTTATTCGTATTGCGAGGGCGGGCAAAAGAGTCAGTTCGGCAAGTATGCGGATAGTCAGCCTCCTTGCTAGAGATTTGCAATTGCTAATATCTCTCGCGAGTTTGGTTCTACATATTACCGAGCAATTGCGCTTGAATTAGGAGGAGCATGATCGTCGTTCTAGAAGCATCAGGGATGGTGATCTATTCCCAAAATGGATATATACAGCTGGCGGATTATAATCGATGACTCATCATTGTGTGCATAACTCACTAGTTACATGTCTAGAAGGCTCGCTTGCATGCAGCATACGGCTCGACAGATGGACATCGTACGAACCTTGTTGGTCCATTGATCAGATTGGCTGGAAACTAGCCATATAAGTCCACATGTATATCGTACTTTTATGTAACCTCTAATCTCCTTTAAATTACCTCGACACCCTTACTTATAAAATCATCGTCGCCAGGAACAAGTAAGTGGGTCAAGTCTAAATTAGACTCTCGTGACCGGGAGACCTCCTTTCCCCGGATGTGCCTCAACGTGGCCCTAGGCATTTTCAACCTTTAACATTTACATTCTTTTGTGCTCGGTACTTTTCTCTTTGCCCGGCGCCTGTCGTTTTGCGACATGGATCTCTTGTGAGCGCCTGTCTTATCACCTGTTTTGTGTCACCACTCGCCCACCTCCTCCGCTGCCCTGCCACCGCGGCATGATCCCGCAACATGGAATCAATCGTGTATGAGAACTCGCCTTTGGCCGACTATTTGGAAGGTTCGCTACGTCCGTGACACGCGAGGAATATAGGTCCACTGACAGCCGTGCTAGGGGAGGGTGGAAACGAAGAAAGTTGGCCCGTGGAGGAGAATCAGAGCGACGATGATCATACCCGTTCCTCCGACTTCGCCCCTCGAGGGGCTTCCAAATTTCAGGATCGCGTTAGAAACAAGCTACCGAAGCCTCTCAATCTACGAGGCACACCGCAGGGGGAACTCATCGGGAAACTATATGGCTCTTGCTCAGTACGCGACCCTCCACGATTGAACAGGTTCATACTAACACTTCTTCTCGCTAGTCCGCCCTGAACGTCCGACTACCACGAAGCGATAATAAACGATTTTTGGAACAATTTGGCTACGTCATTGTCGCATCGCAACTGTTGAACGAACACAGCGCTCCTTCCTACACTTCTGCTGCAGATGTCTTATCTGCAAAACAACCTTCGGATCTTCCGTCGCTATCTACAACTTTTGGGGTTCAAGGCGCCATTGTCACAGCTGCCACATCATTTTCTATCGCTTGGTTGCTACATTGGAGCCGTTCGAGGACTGGGTCGGGATTCAGTCTCAAGAAAGTTGGAGTGCTATTGATACTTGTGCCCGCTGTCGGTGTCTTTTTCTATGCTTTCGCAAAACGGCAATGGTTGAAATATCTCCGGCACCAGGCTGTTGAGGCAGCTGGCGCTTTCATTGGAAACGCCCAGGGGTTTGATTCTGCTGCGTCGGCTTCTGTGGTTTTTATCCAGGAGGTTGAGCTTGTGTCAAGAGGCTATCGGATGTGAGAACGTGATTCTTTTTGTCCAAGATAAGAACAGGCTAACGAATTATCACAGAAGCACTCCTCTACCGCCCATCAGTCGGCTGGAAGATCTAGTACAAACGCGACGATGCTTGAGATTGCGCCGAGCGGTTTCCGAATGCTTCTACTCCATGCTCGAGCGATATATTCAATCCCAAAACACCTTACGCCCACTTACCGATGAGGGCGATCTTGCGAAGTATTACGACATTTATGACATTGGACTGGAAGAACTCGAAGCGGTTGAGGCGTCCCTGTCGCAGCGAACTAACGAAGACCAGTATTCATTGCGCTCTCTAAGGGATCTATTTGGAAAACTGTACAGTGTGAGAAAAAGCGTTCTGTGCTGCTTGCTAGCCCTTAGCGCCGATGGGGGTGGCTCCGATATTACACGGTGGAGTTCAGCTGTCGAGGAAATGCGTGAGCTAGCTGCGGCCACCGGCAACAGCATGCTGAAAATGACAGCAATCTTAAATGAGGAGGACCGTAAGTATTAATCTGTGTTGTATGACACGGACGCCAGCTAATATTCGCAGGTGATATCATTCCTCCATCTCCATTACCTTCCGCCTCACCAAGCAAGGATCACCTGCGTGCTCAATTTCGACGGCTCACCTCTTTGTCACAAGGGGTCCGTGCCTTGCATGCTAAAATGCACATTGCCAGCGAGGAGTCACATGCCAATCTAGAACGCGCAGATCCTGAGTTCGAAGCAACCCTCCTCTCACAATATGATTCGGTTGGAAATGATCTTAGGGCTCTTCTTCACGAATGGGAAACTGGTAAAGCCGCATTGGCAAACCAACACGATCGCCTTAGTGCCGGGGATCGCTCGCGACCGCCAAGTACTTTCTTACCCATGTCCCCTACACCCAGTCTGGGAGGATCCACGGCAGTTGAGGGCAGCCCAACGGATGCACTGAAAGCCTTAACTGGCGAGGCCCGGCCGGATCTGACCCAGACCTATGATGACGAGGAAATTTTCGAAGCTGTTGTATTACCGGCCTCGAGAAACAAAAGAATGTCTTTGTCAAGAGACGAGCGTCTTGCACGTGTACGAGAAGACCGTGCCAGACAGGCGATTGCCAGAGAAAAGGTAGATGCCAGTACTAACATGCTCAAGGAATTGGAAATGGTCATCAAGCAGCGACCAGGAAACAACTCTGCAAAACGAGTCACCAGCATCTAAGACATGCTTGATGCATTCCATATAACCTCTTTTTTTTTGTCCACGCCATCCAGCACAGATTTGACTTCGACCAGCGCTAGCAGCAGTGAAGTCACAAATTGATACCCACAACATGTACATATAGACGGGGCTCGGCGACAGCGGTGTTTATTCGAGGACTATTGCTTCTTGCTTCTTTCTTTTGTGCCATTATTATCTGTTTGACTGTCTTTAAGTGGTCTTGGATCGCGATCCTTTCGGCATTCATCTCCATTGAGTGTGGCGATCAACGTTAATTATTTGCTAATTTGTACATTACAGCTGGCTCTTTTACGAATGAATTATCCTTCCAATATCCTACCACTGTTCATTGTGATAAAAAACCCTAGATGTATATGAAGGAGGCCTTATTGCCTTATTGCCTGAGGTATCAAACTTAACCCGAAACGGACATATCGCCAAACGCGACCGCGTCTTCCCCACCCCCGAACGCGATCCTTATATTAGACCGCTGCCTCTTTCATCTTCGTTCAAATACATACCCAGTTCATTATTCTCGTCTCCCCACTACTCTCTTCACTAAGAAGCCACACTCTTTCCTCTTCTATTTCCCTACGACTCAGTTAAAAAAAAATCCCCACACAAAACGATCAAGAGTAAGTCGGCCAACTCTCAAATCGAAAAGATTGTTGTGTGCGAAGAACCGACCAACTAACCCACTCCCTAGTGTTGGAAGCACGATTGGAACAGGCAAGCCTTCTGAAGCGCGTATGTGATCTATACCACTCAACCAATTCAGCAATGAACAATTACTAACACTGTTGTGTATAGGTCGTCGACGCCATTAAGGATCTTGTCCAGGACTGCAACTTCGATTGCAATGACTCCGGAATCGCCCTCCAGGCCATGGACAACTCGCACGTTGCTCTAGTTTCCATGCTACTCCGTGCCGAGGGCTTCTCTCCCTACCGCTGCGATCGTAACATCGCCCTCGGTATCAACTTGCTCTCCCTGACCAAGGTCCTCCGCGCCGCCCAGAATGAAGACATCCTGACCCTCAAGGCTGAGGACTCGCCCGATTCCGTCAACTTGATGTTCGAGAGTCCAGACACAGACCGACTGACCGAGTATGACATCAAACTCATGGATATTGACCAGGAGCATCTGGCCATCCCTGAGACTGAGTACTCCGCCAGCGTGGAGATGCCTTCTGCTGAGTTCCAGCGCATCTGCAGAGATCTCAACGCGATGTCCGAGTCAGGTAAGTAAATTTTCCCCCGAGGCATACTCAAACCCGGTTTGCAGACACACAGATCCTCTCGTGCTAATTTCTTGCGTAGTCGTGATCGAGGCCAGCAAGGAGGGTGTCAAGTTCTCCTGCCAGGGTGATATCGGTAATGGATCCGTCACCATCCGCCAACACACCAACGTCGACAAGCCAGAGCAGAACGTCGTCATTAACCTCTCCGAACCCGTCGCCCTGACCTTCTCCCTCAAGTACCTCGTCAACTTCTGCAAGGCTTCCAACCTGTCTTCATCTGTCGTGCTGCACCTCTCTGATGAAGTGCCTCTGCTTGTGGAGTACGGTCTGGGAAGTGGCCACCTGCGATTCTACCTCGCTCCTAAGGTAAGTTCTTGATTGTTCCAAGGTCGACATCATGGAAACCGAGCTAATGTGGGGGTTTAACACAGATCGGCGACGAAGACTAAACGAATCATCCAGTGGTTCGAGGGGATATGGGCAATGTTAAAAATGAAGCTCGATGATAATGGAGAGAACTTGGAGGAAAATGTTCTTTCATACATCCCTGACGACAAGGGGTTTTACAAGATGTTCACGATAATTTACACATTCAGCGGTCGAGGTTTCGATCTCGCAAATTTTTCCAAACACGCATCTTTCACCTAGAATTTCAAAGATTTCTAACTTCGCTACAAGTACGGATTAAAAGATGATATCTTAGATATTTCACCGACCATTAGGCCAGCGGAAAGATGTATTTTATTGTGTCCATAATTCCGAAGAAAGCCCCGACAAACCCAAAGCCAAACCCAGCGACCGAAACCTAACGAGCCCGCAGGCAAAGGACCCTAAGGAACCTCGCAAGGATGGTCCACAACCCCACTAATCAGCAAGGTCGCCAAATTAAAACGCTTCTCAGACACCCCCAACAAAAAAAAGAGGAGGGGAAGCAAGAACTGACCTGAAAAAAAAAAGTGAAGCGCCATCCCCACCAGAATGATCGGAATCGAATGATACCATCCGCCCCTCCGAAGAGAAGACAGAACAAGGTATGCTGCGTATTGCACTAAAGTGTCATCACACACAATCTCCGCACCGACTCTCCCAAGGGCTTAGGGGCAAGCCCCATCCGCCCGATGTTTCTGATGTCAAGTGCAAGTGTGGGTAAGAAGTGATCTAGGATCACACCAGGCCCTCACGGGCAGGACCGGCGCCGACGCGCGAAAACGAACGACGGCGCGGGTCGGGGTTTGAAGATTCCTCCGAATTTCTCATTTGCAAGGGGTCTCGCGGCTCTGGGCAGGACCCAGTGCTGCGAGGACGGGCTGTGAAGCTCGCCGTGTGTAGCAAAGAAACGCAGCATTGGTGGGGATGGCGCTTGAGGAAGGGAAATTTGGCGTGGAGAACGGTTTGCGGGTTTTATATCGCTGTCACGTGGGATGAGTCATCTGTGCGCTTGTCCCGTTTGGGAAGGTATAGGGCATCCAGTGTTGTGAGTTGGGTTAGTTGCGCTACGAGGTTTGGATGGAGTGCTTCTTTTAACATCAAGTTGAATGCAATGATTCTAATTAGCTGATTCTCAGCAATTTGTGGCTAAGTCTAGAGTACACTCTCGGTTTAGGTCGAACGATCTGCTGCTTGTGCTAGATTTCCTCGAAAGCTCGAACGATATATGTCTTTCCTTGAACTTCTACTTTCTCCCCCGGTGTTCTCCAAGATCCCACCCCCTCTCCATCAAATCCGACCACCATCGAAGGCAAAGAGCCCGCAGCTTCGCCAACCAAATACTTCTCATTCCACCCGGATTCCCATTCTTCCCTTCTGGCACTAACATCAGCGCCAGACTTCTTCACAACCAGATCACCAGATGGAGTCTTCTGTCGCGAGTGAATCTGCGTCTGGCTTAGTGCCAAATACGTGCCCCAGATGCGACCGATAAAAGTCTTGCTAACAGTCACCTCTCCTTCTCCACTGCCGAGATCTCCATCATCCGACTCCAGCACCCACGAAATACCTTTATTAGGTCCTTCTGGGCCCTCTCTGAACGGCAACTCCCGCCATACCTCCTCATATTCCTTGTCGGGTGCGCCAGGAAGATCATGACGAGGCATAGACCCGACCTCGAGATCATCACCGTTCGGCAAGGGGAAAAAGCTCCCACAATCAGCAATTTCAAACGCATTGTGAGAGTCAAGCTCATGGGAGAAAGTCACCCGCACTATTGAGTTGGTTAAAAAGTAGTTCATATTCGTTTCGCTGAATGCAATGGCATCCTTTGGATAAGGGACTTACACGGCTCCTGACCCTCCACGATCCTCTGCCCAGCAATCGCCCAGTCTATTTTGCCTGTTGCCGTTTCGATCCGCAGATCAACGTACCAGTCCTTCACGGACATCACAATTGTATCGGTTGTTTCCTCGGCCGGTGTTGTGAGCCATCGGAACGAGATTCGCTTGGAGAAGCGACAGGTGGACTGGTTAGGTTTGTTGACCATATTGTTGGCTTTCGCTGGATGTTGGATTGTTATGGTAGGAATTGCCTGTTTCTGTGGCTATATTAGATGGTAGGCGGGAGCTCTGCTAAACGAGATGTCTAGATAGGTATGTGACAAGAGCCAGATTGGGAAGGTTGAAGAGAATGCCCAGCCATTTGGTTATCTTCCCCTCACACCCCGCATTCCCCTCCAGGGACATTCTCCTCACGGACATTGCCGTTAATTATGATCGGTTATCAAATTGGAAGATTGGGAAATTGATATCAAAATTTGATGGTTTTACATTGAATTCTGGGTCCATGGCAATCTTTCAATACACAAAAACTGGGTCTCATGTCACTCTATAGCTGTAAAGACCAGCTTGCAGCTCTGCCCCTTGGGCCTCGAAGAGATGATCTGATCATCCAGCTTCATAGAAGCAGTCATATCCGAGGCCACCGTCGTCCGATAACGAGAATACACTTCCCGAAGCAGTGTCTTCATCTCAACAAGCGCAAGACTAACCAGTATCAGCCATCAGCACCAGCCAACCAGGGCACAAGGAAGACAACTCACTTTTTCCCCGTACACCCTCTCCCACCTGTAGCAAACGAAAAGAATAGCCTATTCCTCTCAGCAGCCCCCTCTTCAACAAGCCACCGATCAGGATTGAAACGATCAGGCTCAGGGAAGACACTCTCATTCGTCCGATGCACCGAATAAGGCTGGCAACTAACGATAGTATGCTCTGGAACGAAGAACCCGTCGATCTCCCTTCCACCAGCAGGTACATAGCGAGGCAGTGACATCGGAATAGGCGGCGCACACCGCAGCGCCTCTTTAATGACAGCATCGAGATACACATAGCTATCCAAGGGTGCATTGACAGGCGCAGCGGTAAGCTCTTTGTAAAGGTTGTGTTGGAAATAGAGATTGTGAGGTTGTGAGAGCTCCCACATTAAGAAACACAGGCCATCCCCCGTTGTGTCGATGCCGGCCGCCATGTGGTCTTTGCATTCTGCGGCGGCTTGCATTAGTTCCAGGTTAGATTCTTTGCGCTTGAGTTTTTCCATTAAGGAGTAGTCGTCGAGCTCGATTTGGGCGGCCATGTCTATGACATATTGGTTTGCTTTTGGGGCGCTGCGGGCATGGAGGAACTTTGGGAAATAAGGTGATAATAAAGGGAGATAGTACTCTAGGAGGTTTTCTGTTTGCCGTTTTAGTATTTATCACCAGAACATGGAAATCGGGCAGTGCATACTTTGGAGACTTTGATGATAGGTCAGTTCGTGCATGATCTCGAAGTCTTCGGCTACATTGAGAGATCTCAGGCCGCCGGGGCTGAACATGAAATGCGTAACGCAGTCCAGGGCATAGCAGTGAAGCAAAGACTGGAAGGGTTAGCATTTCTCATGTTGGATGCTTTAATATAATGACAACCCACGTAAACATCCACACTCTTTTGGCCACCCTCGACACACTTAGATACAAACGTCATGGCCCGTTCGTGGATAAGAGCCATGGGTTTTTCTTTCATGATATTGGTCATGGCGTATCTATCGGCAAAGATGCGTTTTCTTTTGCTGTGCTGGTGTATATTAGCACTCGAATGTTTTATTTCTATTAGAAATATGTACCTCGTCCTTCAATAAAGTAGAAAACATTGTCCTAAGTCTTTGTATTAGTGGCTGCCAGCTATTTCTCCGGTGCAAAGGCTTACTTGATCTTGAACTGCCTGAAAAGATCATAGTACTCGGTCTTGTCATACCCACTCCCCCCCGAAGCATAGATCTCTTTAATCGCATCCAGGCTGGTAAACGATAGTTCATTGGGACTCAGCCGGACGACAGGACCATAGATCTTGTGCAAGCGGTGAATTGACTCTCGTCGATTGGCAGTGAACTCCTGATACTTAAGCCACAAACTTGTAAATCGAGTATACCACGGACCCGGAATTGTAGACAGGGGCGAGAAGAATCCGCGTATGACTATATACCCACAAAGGATGATAGCCCCGGCCCACAGAGACAGCATGTTGTCGTATCAGAGAGCTCCTGGGTGATGAAAAGTTTCTCTTGAAGAAGGCCGAATGTGCAATCCTACGCTTATTTATACCATAGATCTGATTGAAGCATCAATAATTCCCATTAGATAATAGACATAACTTTGGAGATTTGATAGTCTTTGCTTCAACAGTTAGGATTTGCCGATATCATCGTTATCGGAGTGCGGGGAAATGCGAACAGACTTGGGTTTGGGTTGCGATAAGATTTCAGACTTTAAACCAAAAAGGGAAATCTGAGGAGATGGTAGGATTTGAAAAAAAGAAAGGTTATTCCCAATGAATGTCACTTGATAGTTATATTGTAGCTAAACAGCCTTGTCCCGATCTTGACTGGGATTCATCTCTAGAACGTATGGCAGGGGAGATAAACTGTTTATACGGCAGACGGGGGAAGATGAATGCAAAAGATTATGCCGTAGCCGATCACTTAAGACATTGGATATCTCTAATTGCATTCAAAGATTCACTGGACAGCCCATATGTCACCAAGCAACCTCTCAAACACAAGTTTATGGCTGCAGCCGAAGCCAAGATCAAATTCACAAAACAGTTTGAACCAATTTCATGCTGATGGTTGAAAGCTACATATACAATGATATTATTATATGGAGTAGTAATCAATCAACGGTGCATTAAGTTACAATAATAGCCTAGTGATGGGGGTAAGGGTGAACTATGACATCACATAGATTCCCTTTACTTGAATACCATAAATAGAACTAGACTTGTGCCAGTGCCTCGTTGACTATCAACAACAACATAGTCGAGAGCTGGATCTTCTATAGTGGAGAGCTTCCTAAATTTGGTGTCGCAGTATTGAGAGAGCTAGTATCGATTTTATCATTCATTACAAACGGGCTGCAGTCCTAAAAAGACACCACCAGGTTAACGAGTTGGATATGCTCGATCATGAGCATATAATCTTTGAAATATGAGACCTCAAAAGTAAAAGGTCAAGACCTGCATTCCATTTCATTGTTGGGCTTGTCTTTGCCGAGATACCCTGCTCCGGCGGCCTTTCCGTTGATCGGATCCGACGCTAGATGACCGATCCAATGTCTCACTTCTAAGGGTTCTTAGTGGGCTGAATGGGGGTTTTCTAGATGTTGCCGATACTCCACCAGGTTAGAAACACGTCCATGGATTTTGTCAGGCAATTCTGGAGATGTATTGGAGAAGACTATGGTTATCGGGGTGGATTCGCATAAATGCTTCGATTGGCGATGTGTTGGCGTTGATCAACACATGGTTTATGTATCGTACTCTACACAAATTCCTTGGTCTGAATCTGGGTATTTCGAACAATGATGGAGCCTTTAGCCGGCTGTACCTAATCGGAAGAAAGTGGACCTTCTCGACGTAAGGAATCATTCGCACATCATGGCCGATCCCGGTGCATAGTGCTTTAGAGATCCTGCGAAAGCACCTAGGTTCCGAAGTTCTAGGCCGCGGAGAGTGAAAGTGAGGACCAAAATAGAGCCATGGAAATGAAAGTAAGATCAAACAGGGATGATGTAATTATATTTCAGTACCGAGGTACAGCTGTACACACGCACCCGCATGAACCAAGGATGACTTGGTCAGGGGCCATGGTTCAGACAATCTTTAAACTGCCTCAGCCACTTTTGTATCAGCCACATTAGTGAGATCGTATTCCAGCTCTCATATGTTATTACAACATACAGCATGCTTCACAGCCTTACCTCCACATTATTTTCTGCGGATAGGACTCATTGTGGCTTAGACTAACTAATTGACAGGCCGGTGTCACAGGTTAAATTGGCCTGAGATCAGGGTCTTACCCGTGGACTCCAGCCCTGGGCTACTAGCACGATTAAGTAAGCCAAATAGAACACCTGCCTAGTGGGCCCGGCGGGCATCCGCCCGGGCGTCGTCGATAGCCTAAGGCGTTGAAACAGTCGAATAAAGGATTCTCTCTTTACCAATTAGACGACCCAACTAGAAGAGTACAATATATGTAAGACACACAAAAGCAAAAGAAGAAAAAAAAAACAAAAGAGAATCCTACCAAGTACGGAGTAAAATAAAAAAAGTCTGGACTCGACTAAGTTTGGTACCTGTCGCATGTCGATGGGGCTACTCCACTGCCGATTCAGGAGAAAAAAGGCGTTGGAATGCAGAAATAGTGTGGTGGCTTTGTCCGGGTTGGAGAAACAGCTTTTCAGGGACTCTACGGTGCATCTAGAATGTTTGTAGTAAGCAGAGTCCCGACTTGTGGTTATTCCGTACATAGTGTACTTCGTACACTCCGTAGGAGCCTGCATACTGCGTATGTGTGACCCGCCCCATGGTATGTGGACAACTTTGGTTGAACCCCAGATGTGCCCCTACTTTCTCTCCCGTCTCGAATCCGGCCTTTTTTCCTTCTTCACCTTTTCTTTTTTGTCACTCGTTCGATATTTCCTCCCTTTTTATTTCAAGGGTTGAATCAGCTGTACGGTCGCTGCCACAACGCATTCCCTCGATTCCCCGCCTCACAATTCGGAACTCTGCGGGATAAAAAAAAAACACAAACTACAACATACGGAATAATACCTAGAGAAATCACCGTCTATCTTTAATTCGACTCAACTGGTTTGAGCTGTCTGCCTGACAGTCGGATGCCCCTGTCGAGGCTTTCCTGCGTCTAATCACACGTCTCCTGACGAATCCTGGCTTGGGCCAACCAAATTGCCAAGCCACAGAAGCACACGAGCCTCCGTTGTGTTTTAATTTGCCCTTCCCCCCCGTGTCGGGCCTATTTCCCACCGGTCTTATAAAGCGAACGCCACCATCAGGTGGTTACACCGTCGCCGTGTCTTTCACTAACCATCCCGCCGACCTGAGCTCCACGACGGAGCCTCTCGGCAAGATTCCTTCACACGGGTCGCGCGCCTCTCTCCTGGGGGGGTCTTTTGATCCTGCCTTTCGACGAGGTCAGGGAGGGTTCCGCGCA